AATTATTTTAACTTTTAAAATCTCAGTATTTTTATTTGGTTTATAGAAAACTATAGCTATGACATGTGAAAAATCTTTTGCTTCTAAGTAGCTAACTGTAAATTTGAACCTATTATATCCTTTCCACTCTGCTACTAAGATATCAATGAAATGGCAAATATATTAAGGAGGGGAAGAAGTTAGTAACTTCATCTGTTATAATGTTTTCAGAGCACAGAAGAAATGGCTTATAAGACTTAATAACAACAATTATTAAGTACTCATGTGTTCTTAAGATTAAAAACTCAAAAGCCAGAAGCAAGTAAAATTTCTAATATTAGAATATTTGTGAGAAGGTAAATATATAGATAGAAAATGGTCAGAACTTAAATGAAATAGAATCCTGTCCTGTAGTGTCTGCAGCAGTCAGTTCAAGATGAACAAAATCTGGTCCTTGACTGCTAGCTTCTTAATATTTTGTCCTTTCCTGCTACCTTAACCTCAATGAGGACCAACCAGATAAAGTAAAAAATACTCTTTATTTTTAATTTTTTTTAATTTAATTTTTTTTTTAGAGGTTTTCGCTACAGGGCGTGTGCACTTGCCAGAGAGAAGCTAGTGCAAGTTCCCTCTGGTCACTATGGTCTCCATTGAAATACGAATGACAGCTATCAGAGTAAGAGACCAGTAGAGAAGGTAAAAAGTAGTGATCCCCATGAATCCACAGGGTATAAATTAACCAGGAAACTATCATTATAGCCAAGCAACATTTAAGCTCAGTAGAGAACAATCTTCATGAGATGTACGTACCTAAGATATCTCCAGTGATGATCTTAGCACTTAATAATATTGTAAATAGAGCTTGAAAGATCATCTAGAAAATAGCCACTCTTCATAAATGCTTTACTTTGACCAGAAAAATAGAAACTTCAATAGCATTTAGAATAATACTTTATTATTTTTTTTCAAATTATGATTTCTGGTTTATGTATACATAATGTACATCTTTGTGTGGTATAGTGTGACTTTTTTAAAGTACACATACAGTGCAATGCTAATTAAATCAAAGATAAACATGTTCATATTCTTCAACAGTAACCATTACATTATGTCGTGAACATTTGATAATAGTTCTACTAACTGTTTTGTTTTGTTTCCAATTATGTATTAAGTTGTCCATAGTTTTTATTGTGCCATTTTATTGTGCTGTTTTATAAACTCTTTCCTTATTATATATATTTTTATGTCTTAAAAAGTTTTTCCCAGCCCTTCCTCCTTCTATTTAGTTTCTGGTCTCTGCACTACTCTCACTATTTCTATGCTTTTGAGTCTTTCGTTTCCCACCATAGAGTGCAAACATTTGGTATATGTTAAGCAGGGAAGAATGGTATTTGTCTTTCATAGTTTGGCTTATTTCACTTAGCATTATATCTTCAAGATTCATCTACGTTGGGTCCAATGGTAGGATTTTGTTGTTCTTTATGGATGAGTAGTCTTCTATTGTGTATTTATATCATATTTTCCCAATCCTTTCATTGGTTGTTGGACATTTAGTATAATTACATGATTTAACTATTATGCATAATGCTGGAATAAATATAAATGTGCAAATGTTTCTTCAATTGAGTGATTTCTTGTCTTTTGGGTTTATACCCAATAGGGGAGTCTTATGTTATGTTCTAGTTTTAGTTTCAGATTTTTTAACACCCTCCATAATATCTTCCTCAGTAGTTATACTAAGTTATATTCTGACAAACATTGTATGAGAGTTCTCCTTTCTCCACAACCTTGACAGCACTTGTTATTATTATTATTATTATTATTATTATTTGATCATAGCCATTCTTAATGGGGATGTAGGTGTTGGTTGAAAAGTTGTGACTCGGGGGTGAACTAGTTATTTAATTAGTCATTTCTGTGCTAATGGCTAAAGATAGATCTAACTGTCTACTCAATGCCCAAATCTCCACAATCATTTCACCCCTTAACAGGCAGTTTGTAGAAGGTGAGTGTGGTGGAGTTATTGATGGTATATGAGAGGGCTGTGTACTCCGTCTTGTACAACTGCTGACTAAGGTGGGTTCTTCGTATATCTTCCAGCATGGCTGTAGGCCTGAGCAGGGGATTGCCTGTCCACCCACTAGGCTGGGAGTTGAGGCTGAATTTGAGCACATGTTAGGTGTACCTGCCTGTGGGCCTGGGAAGTGAGGCATGAGATGTCCAAGCTAGCCTGTGCAACCAAGGGTCTTTGAGGTTGGAATGAAGGTGGAGTTATGGCCCAATTCACTGGCAAGCCCCAGAGCAAGGATCGTTGACACTTTTTTATTTCTCAGTTGCCTCTCTCCACTCCTTTATCCAGATTCACAATTCATAGAGGTCCAAAGAAGCTATGCTGCAAAAGGCAACTTGGGACAGGAAGATACTCCTGGCGACTTGGGTGGGAAAGGGGGAATCTCAAAAGCTTCCCTCCAAAGACTCCACAGCCATAGCAGACAAGCTCCTTTCTTCCCAGGAGAGGAAAAGGCAGCAGGTGGGGATGAGCTACAGCCTAAATCCAAGGCCCACAAGGCAAGGGCTGGAGATAGATGGCTCTCACAGACTGGTCAGAGCCTTCAGGATTCAGTCTGGGGGATATCTATCCACATGGTGGTTTCTTTGTTATCCCATGCATTACTCATATTCCTATCTCAGGGCCCCTGATCTTATTGTTTCCCTTTCCTAGAATGCTCATGCTACCTCCATAATGTCTGTTCCAAGAAGGCAGCCATTTTTATATACTTTATTCCGTGCTACTTCTTGACCATCAGAACTGAGCTTGACACATTAAGTGCTCATTAAATGTTCGTCAAATGAATAAATAAATATATGAATAATAATCTCTTCTACTCACCTTTTGAATTCATGGGTGCAATTTGGGCACAGAACTTATCCTTGATTCCATGGAGCAAAAGTGAAAACCAAGCTAGGCTGCAGTATTTAACAAAAACTTGGACTTGCCAGATGAAAATTAATGTGAAACTGGTCCACCAATACACCTGTTTTCCTAGACTGCAGACCTGAGTGCATCTCCATAAATGCCTTCAGCAGACAGCTTCCTTTTGCTGATTGAATGAGTTCACCCAGAAGTGAGTACAAGGGATAAAAATCAAATGGGTCTTGAGTTGATGGAATTTGCTGGCAATTTAAATGTAGGTGGAAAAGTCAGTATTTAAGGATGCCTCCAAGGATTTGGGATGGTCTTTTCCTGGAGTTCTCTAATGATGGAGATAAGAGGAAACCAATAAATGAACCAATAAATGAATGAATTGTTAAAAAGTTAGGAATTAAACTAGCTCGTGTAATACTTTGGGAGCAAAGTGAAAAAGTGTTTCAAGGAACAAGCAGTGGTCACCCTGTCAAATGCTGCTACATTAATATAAAAATCTGGACATGACAATTGGATTTCATGTAATGGTGATCATGGTCAATCTTGCTTAAAAGTTGTATCAATTGAGTGATGGGAACAAAATGGTGATGGTGAGAATTGCTTTAAATGAGAACAGTGAAAGAAAAATTGTAGACCTAAATTCCAGGATTATAGACCATTCTCCTAAGGAGTTTTGCCAAAAGGAGAGAAATTGAGGAGATTGTTACAGAGGAAAGTATGGTAATTTTTTTGTTTGCTTGTTTTAGTTAAAAAATAATTTTAAAAGATAGGATAAATAGTAGCATGTATTTATGCTATTAAGTATTAGTCAATAGGACCAGTCTGTGGTCTGGTGGTTAAGGGGCTCAGGTCCTACATGGCTTATTATAGTTCAAGTCCTAGAAATGGAGGAGACAGCATTGTGACATGACCATGACCTTTTGGGGAGGTGCTTTATTCTCTTTCTCTCTCTCTCTGGCAAGTACATACACCCTCTTGCAAATTGAAAAAAAAAAAAAAAAAAAAAAAGAATTGGTCAACAGAAAGAAACTTTGAAATACAGAAAAAAGCATGGGAGAGGGTTTCCTGAAGTAGGGTCTTGAGTAGGTTACAAAAGATAGGATCTAGTTCCCCAAGAATGGTGATGGCCTTTCATGGGAACATGGATATTTTAAAAGAGAGCAGATATGAAAATGGTTAAGAAAAGTAGGAGTGCGAATGGACCAGGGAAATGTCTAAGAATTGCTAGGAAGCATAACAAACAGCATGAGATGGGTTTTCATGACCTGAAAATAAAAAATGGTACCATGGCTGTGTTTTTTTCCTTTATTTGAATTCAGTGACTCAAGGCAGGCAAAGGAGCTTAGATTAATTACGACTGTAATTTAGGCAGAGAAGTAAGAAAACTAATGGAGACAAATTCATTAAAGGTATATGCATGGGATGATTATAATAACTGACTATGGAATTTGATCTAGTTAAACAGGGAAGTAAGGACGCGTGATGTGGAGTTCAAGGTCAGAGAAAGGACAAGGGACTTAGGGCTACTGGTGGAATGAGGTCTATTTTCTAAGGACTTTGGAGTTTGTGACTAGACAAAACAAGCTCAAATATGAGAGATGGTATTTGAGAAGTATGTCTGAAATTGAGATTATGGAGGCACTGCGATTATTTTTAAAAATGACTTAGCAAGTGGCTATGGAGATGAGGTGTTGGGAGGCAAGATTACTGGAAGAGATCCATCCCCACCACAAGGAGGGTAAATCACAGTTGGTAAGGGTTCAAGGCATTGGGTTTATCTTGAACGAGACGTGGCTAGTTATAAGAAAGTTGGCAGGCTCATGATCTAATAGAAAGAATGAAGGTGTGTAGTCAAGGGTTCCTTAGGTGGGAATTCCTTGGACTGCACAATAAGAGCAGCTATGCGCAAGTTCCTGGGCGTTGCTGGGCAACCAAGGCCTCCTCCCGCCCCACGCCACAGCCCAGCCAGCTGCTTTCATCAGCGCCCTTCCACGCTCAGCGAGGTGGGAGGCTGCCACGAGACGAGCCCATTGGCGGGGCAGAGGGACAAGCGGGATTTGCGGAGCCCCAGAACAGCCTAGTCTGACCACGACTTCAGCCTGAGCAGCCTTGAAAAAGCATTTCCATGTCTGGAGGCAGGAGGATGAATCCTACAGCTCCTCAGACCTGGCCATGGGCCGCAACCTTCGAGAAAAGGATTTCGAGAAACTTCACAAAGCGGCCTCGATGGGAGATTTAGAGAAGCTGAAGAAATACCTTCAACTCAAGAAATATGATGTGAATATGTGGGACAAAGAATACAAGTGACCAGAGCAGAAGAGCCAGCGGGTGACCGAGGGCACTGTGGAGAGGCAGCGGGGCCTCTGGGTCCTCCAAGATGAGTGTGGGCGGTTTAACACTGGTTGTCCCTCTAGGTTTCCCAGGGCCGAGAAATCGCCTGGTAAATGCTGGAAGAGGCTCACACTCCTACTTTCAGCTTCTCTCTCTCTCTCTCTTTTTTGCATACTTACCTGAGTGTTTGGGGGCCTGATCCTGCCTGTTCCTCCCATCGCCTTTGTCTCTACTGAGGCACTCCATACTTTACTCTCCCAAATCTACAAACTTCATGCAAGGAAGCAGTTTTAATTTTATTTTATTAATAATGCTTAACACGAGAGCCGCCCTTTTAACAGATTTTTAAGTGTACATTATCAGTAATTTAGATCTGTAGAGTTTCTGAGTTGGATGTCTTTTATTTCCTTTCTTATCGATTTCCTCTGGCTAGGACTTGTAGTACTATGTGAGCCTCCTTGCCTAAAATCTGGTCTTAGATGGAAAGCTTACAGAAAAGCTCTGTTTTCAATGTTGAGTATGATGTTAGCTATAGCCTTTCATATATAGCCTTTATTATGATTAGGTAATTTGTAATTTTGTTGAATTTTTAGTTCACTTGGAGTTTTTTCATCACAAGAGGATGTGGAATTTTGCAAAAGCCTTTTCTGTTGAGACAGTCATGTGATTTTTTTAATCCTTAGTGGTGTTAATGTTATATATTTTTTAAGATTTGTAATTAATTAATACATTAATTCTATTATTATTAAAAATTTTTTCAACCCTCCTTGCATCCCAGGGAGAATCCCACTTGATATGGTGTATGATCCTGTTGCTATGTTGCCGAATTTGGTTTGCCAGTATTTTGTTGAGTAATTTTTTTCTCTCTTTTTTAAAAATTTATCTCCTTTTTTATTAGTTAATTTATTTACAGCCATTCACTGACCATCAATACGGTATACAAAATGAGATTTTCCATCCAGTATACATTGAATATTGGCTTAATCAAGGATATTACCATACATATTATCATCAACAAATAGTTTTCTATTTCTTTTTTCTTATATATTTTGCTTTGTTTTTTCTCTTGATTCCCTACCTTCCATCCTCTGCCAACCCTCCCTGCTTCTCCCACACTGTCTCTGGTATGTACAGTTGTTTTCTATACCTTTTTTTCACATTTTATTGATTCACTAATGATCTTATTTAAAGACTTTCAATAGCAAGCACAGCTGCTCTGTACGTATTTATGAATGCATGTCTGACTGTAGGCATAAACCTCAGTGAGTAAAGTAAATACACTATAAAGTAGCACCTCGCTGGGGCTATATAGCTTACTGCAGTCATTAAATAGGTATTAATAGGTATTTTTATAATGCATTTTTAATTTCCAAAGGAAAATTTTAGTTTTAATAAATCAAAATTTAAAAAAAAGTTAAGAAAAAATTTTAAATCCAGGAAAAAGGTTAGGATTCAGTTCAAATAGTAGGTCGATGGACCTATCAACATTTCAAGAGAAGGAAAAAACCCTTAAATATAGAAATCAAAGCATCAAAGGAAATCAGTAATGTTTTAGTCTAAAGTAAAAAAATTCTTTTTCACTAGTTCAGACGCACATAATCCATCTCTCTTCTACTGAATTTGCAGTGTTACTATAGTCTGATCTTTCCATTTTAGCTCTGGAAGTTAACATTCAGCTGCACACGACCCTACCATTAGGCTGGCCATTCTCTTGGTTATTTCTTGTACTCTTATATCTGTGTGTCCGACTTTAGTTTTCCTCATGTAGCACTCCCTTCAGCACTTCTTAGAGAGCTGGTCTGGTGTTGGTTAATTCTTTAAGGTGTTATTTATCAGAGAATATTTTTGACTTTTTTTTTCCCCATATGAAAGATAATCTTGCTGGGTATAGTATTCTTGGTTGAAATTGTTTTTTGCTTAACACTCTGGATATATTTCCCATTCTTTCCTTGCTTGCATTGTTTCTGATGAGAGGTCTGACATTACATGGTCTGGTGGTTAAGGTGCTGGACTCCCACATAGCTAACCATGGTTCAAGTCCCAATCCAGGTGGTTTGGAGATCACACCAGGCATGTGTATGTGTACCCAAAATCCCAGGAGGAGAATGGAGGAGAAGGGACTGCAGAGAGGGGACCTCATTTTCCCTGTCTCTATTGCTCTCCAGCAAACACACATGCACTATAAATCATAAAAAAAATAAATAAAATACTATCTGTTCTTGGTTATAAGTAACTTCTCAAACTAAGGTTTATCTCTAACATTGTATTTGTTATGTTGATATAGAACACCTTTGCACCTGGCCTGTAAGAATGGATATACATTGTATCTCTCTTAATTGAAAAACAATGCAAAATAAATGTTCAGGATGATGAAAACAGATTCCTAGTGATTAAGGTATGTGTGTGTGTGTGTGTGTGTGTCTTCTTTTGGATTATTATATACATGAGTCCGCCTAGTTAACTTTTGTTGAGTTTTATACTTTAAAATATGGTATTAATGTTACTTAATGTATCATATTCTAAGTAGGAAACAGTTTACTCATATATTCTTTTTGCACCGACAGGCAGTACAGTGTGGAAAGGAGATGTGCACCACTATTCTTCCAAACCATGGTGCAGACCCTAATCTGATGGATTTGCATTGTAATAGTGCTCTTCCTTATGCTGTCTGTGGTCAAAGTACCTCATTAACTGAACACAAGGCCAATCTTGAAGCTAAAAATAAGGTAGTTTTCTATTACAAAAATCCTATATTTTAGGAACTAAAGAGGGTATTAATTTCAGATAAGTATTTATTAAAATATATGCTATATAAAGAATTAACTTCTCAATATGGAGGAGAAGGAAAAGGAGATGAGATCATCAATTACTGGTAAATTATATTCTTTTAAAGTCTTTCTCTATTTCATTGTAGATGATAAACCTGACCTCCAAAGTATCATCATATTTAACAATGATACTTGTTCAAAGGGCCATACTAAGTGGAAAACATTTGATTTCTTTGTGAAAAATGTTGATAAAGATCATAAATCTCACCTTTCCCCCTACTTTATTTAAATACTCATAAATAATTAGGTTGAATTAAGAAATCACATTATGTTAAAAGTAATCTAATCCCAATTGAGGTACTATAGCTAACTGAAAAATACTTTTTAAAGAACCTTTAAATTTTGTTTCACTGATATTTGGTCTATATAACAACCCCAAATAAGTTCCAGTTTCTGAGGTTTAAATAAAACTGTGGAAACCAGGTTATGAATTATAAAATGTGAATTGATGGTATAAAATACTTACATTAAATACAAAATGTTTATCACTTAATTATTCCAGGTTTCTCTTGCCCACAATTTGAATTAAGCCTGAAATAGATACTTTGACAGGTCTAACTCTAATTATTAGGTCATTGGAAAGTCATGATATATTTTTCTATGCAAAAATGTATCATAACTTTTCTGATGACCCATAATTTGTTTTCTTGATATTTGAAACCACATTTCATTACGTATCAAGCTCATTTAAAATTTAAAAAATGTATCAGAGACTTCTCATAAGTATATTTACTTTTTAAATTGAACTTAAGACTTAAAGGCATGTAACTTTGGTAGAATATTGTGAATAACATTTTTGAAATTTTTTTTCAGGATGGGTATACTCCACTTTTACTTGCCATTATTGAAAATAATGTAGAAATGGTAGAATTTCTTCTGAAGAAAGGGGCCAATGTGAATGCTTCAGATAAGACTCAAAGGTATAATTAATAAAGCTAAATAAGATGGGATATAACTACAGAACTGTAGCTACTATGAGCATTTTACATATATATATGATATAGATATGTGTGTGTGTTTATATCTATCTATCTATCTATCTATCTATCTATCTAAAATCATAGAAAAGTCATGACATCCTTTGTATAGAAAAACAGAAAAATACATCATGACTTTTCCAACAACCCAATAATATATATATGATATTAGGGAAAGTTAAGATTATGTGGCATAAGATTTTGGGCAAATTACTTAGAATTCTGGGATCTGTTTCTCTATCTGTAAAATCAAACAGACCAGATTGGCAAGTTAGTATTATTTATAACATTTGAATCTTATGCTGAAGACCAATTGTTGGAGCTGAGTGAGTATAGGAAACCCAGAATCCCAGACACTCCACCATAGAATTTTGAGATATCCTCTTAAAACTACTAGGTTTCCAGGGAGTAGAGATTGAAAACCATGGAACTAGTTGTTTCCCAAAGACTATTTTTGGCTTCCCTCATATGACCTTTGATGTAAACTGTTTTTTAACAGATCTGCTCCACTTTTTACACTCTCGGCTTGACTCTTTTCCTGATGAGAGAGGTTAAAACTGAATAGTAAGTCCTTATGTTAGAATTATTATTGGGGGACCAGCAGTTGACGTAATGGCTATGTCACTGGACTCCCATGTAGTCAACTTCGGTTTGAGTGCCAGACCCAGTGGTTTAAACTCACATTGGGTGCATGTGCGTGAGTGCCCACGATATCGAGAGGAGAATGGAGGAGAAGGGATTGCGGTGTGGCCATTCCCCCCGGGGGGTGATTTCTTGTTTTCTGTCTCTCTGTCTCTCTGTCTTTCTGGCAAGTGCATGTGCCCTATAAGAAAAAAACCTCTCCAAAAAAAAAAAAAGAATTTTTATTGGGCCGATCCAGTGTTGCAATAATTAGTGCTGTGTATAGAAAGTCATGCCCCATATAGTCACTTATGGCTCTAATCCCAGCCCTGGTGCCTTGGGAAACATCAGGTCTATGTGTATGTGTGCCCCAAATTCTGACAGGATGGAGAAATGGAGAAGGAATTGCAGCATGACCACACACCATTCAGGGTTTATTTTTTATTTATTTATTTATTTTTTTTCTCTCTCTCTCTTTGGTGACTGCCCTCTGGCAATAAAAAGAGAGAGAACGGGGCAAACACAGACATTCTAGGGTGCTTGTCTGCAGAGGGATGACTGATGTGAAGAGGCCAGTGGAAGGTCATTTACAAGGAAAGGAGAGAGACCTCCTTGATACCCCTCAAAGAAAGCCAGACCTACCAGCACCCCAATGATCTTGAATCCCCAACCTCCAAATATGTGAGAAAATAAATTCCCAAACACTCTAGTCTGTGGTGTTTTGTTATGGTAGCCCTAGCAAATGAATATACCAAGTACAACTTAAAGCCACTTTTTCTACCTTGTTAGTGTCCCCCCACCATCATATTTGTGACAGAAGAAAGAAAAGAGGTGCCAGAAAATGGGAGTACATGAAATAAAAACAGCGTCTGAGGATGACTTGAGAGGACACTTGAGAGAGCATGGGAAAGCATTGACGTGAATCTACAGTTTTGATTGGATAGTTATATGCTATCAATTTGAGTTAAATTTTTATGAATGGTGGAATTCATACACATTTTCTTATCATGGATAGGTACTATCATTTGATTGCTAATAAGGAAGTTAAACATCTAACTCTGAAGAAATGACTTTGGGGGGGACTACCTGTGATACAAAGTGGAAGATAGGTAAGAAGATACTGAATAGCTTTTCTTGTTGCTTTTAATTTTCTTGCTTGTGTTTTAGGAATGGAAACCACTTTCATAAGTAATATTTAAATCCGAGATAGAAATTTCCTTATATTCTGAAATGCCAAATATTTTAAAGAATTATTCTTAAGAATATTTGTGTCTAAAAAATTATCATGCTCGGGAACCAGCAGTTAGCGTAATGGCTATGTCGCTGGACTCCCACATAGTCGACCGCGGTTCGTGTCCCGGACCCGGTGGCTTAAAACTCACGCCGGGCGCGTGTGCGTGCGTGCCCAAGATCCCAAGAGGAGAATGGAGGAGAAGGGATTGCAGCGTGGCCATCCCCCCTGGGGGGTGATTTCTCGCTTTCTGTCTCTATGTCTCTCTCTGTCTGTCTGGCGAGCGCACACGCCCTACAATGAAAATCTCTCAAAAAAAAAATTATCATGCTCTGTTTATTAGAAATGTTAAGAAATACTAAGTGATTAAGACCTTTTTTACCTACTGTCTCTTGGCTGTCATAAAAGGAAAAATTTGTGCACATATTTAGAGATTTTTATAGGTATAAAACTATTATAAATTTTAGAATTTTATTATTATATTAAACACTTCAGATAGGTACATTTGGTAGTACATAGATATATGCCAAATCTTTACATAAAATTTAAAATTCAGTAGCACTTTTATGAAAAATTAAATTTATCATGCATTTACTAAAATAATTTTTGTCATTCATTTAAAAATGTATATATAGTATCCAGGTCTATAAAACGAACCCTTTTTTTGTTCTGATGAATATGTCTCACACTCACTTTTTTTTTTTGATAAAAAAAAACAGCATTTACAGTCATTCTCTGTATTTGCCAAAACTACACTCCTATCTCAGTGTTCATCCACAACATAAAAAAGAAAGAAAAAAAGAACATAGAGGGATCTTGGTGGCAATATAAAATTATATAAACATCACAACTATTCAAACCCTCTCCATTCTCTCAAATCTGTAGTGATGTTGCAGCAATGCAGGTTCCTGTTGACTCCACATGAGTAAACTTATAAGAGACTTTTCCTGAATTCTCTGTACTGTGGGCTCATATTTTTTCTTCTCATACACCACTTAAAAAAATATTTACATGGCTAAAGTAAGTGAGGCATTTCTGTGATTTGCAATTGAGTTTTTAAGCAAAGTAAGGCAATAAACACTCCTAGAAAAAAAATTCCTACATTTTGAATATTCCCTGAGGGATAAATTCTTTTTTTTGGGGGGGGGAGAGATTTTCGCTATAGGGTGTGTGCACTCACCAGAGAGACAGAGACAGACAGAGAGACAGAAAGCGAGAAATCACCCCCCAGGGGGGATGGTCACGCTGCAATCCCTTCTCCTCCATTCTCCTCTCGGGATCTTGGGCACACACGCACACGTGCCCGGCATGAGTTTTAAGCCACCGAATCTGGGACGCAAACCACGGTCGACTACTGGGAGTCCAGCGACATAGCCATTACACTAACTGCTGGTTCCCCTGAGGGATAAATTCTTAAAATCACCCCCAATCATTTACCTTGTCTATACATGATTCCAATTCTCAAAGAAATGTTAATCTTTATGTCTTTTAAAGCATAATGGAAATATTAGGGTAATAAAATTACCATAAAATGCTGCAAAAGATGATGAACTTTAAAAGTTATATTTTTGATTAAAAGGGGACAGCCTAATCATTTAAAAATTACATAAAAAGCGTAGTATCAATGCTAATTTATAATTGTGTTACTGCTGAGGCATAGACTTTAAGAAATACATTTAGGAGTAGACATATCTGGACATAAATGAAGACATTAACACGTATCATTTGTTTTCTGGATGTGTCACCTTATTTCTACAGATCCTTCACTGCTTCATTGAATTAGAAAAGTCTTTTTTGAAAGAGCAGTTAAATAAACTATCATAGCATTTTCACTGACTACTCATTTGAAAGAAATTTTTCTTAAACGGAGAGCAATTTTTTCACATTGCAAGACCTGAAGAAATTTCAAGACAAACATCCATATCATGAACCATTAGTTGAAAAGTAAAGATTTACAGTCAGTATATAGGAAGAGAAAAAATTTGGAGTCAAAGTATTGAATGGGATAATAGTAAGAGTAAATTGTATTAGACCTGTATTAGAATATTTAAATAAAATAAAAATAGTAACATGTCCACTACATAGTAAAAGAAAAAACTCTAAGTACTCCTTCAGGAATCGAAATTCTCTTTTATTTATGAGCACTTTCAATAATAATGCCTTTTTGTTTTAGAAATAGAATATAGTAATATATATTCAGAAAACATAGTATTATCAAAACAAGTGTCGACACAAATAACAAACTCTGCAAACATAATGAATTAATGTGGTTTATTTTTAAGCGTGAATTTGAGTGACCTAAGCCCAGAGAGGAGGCAAAACATGCCTTTCTCTGAGGATGATCAGGTACAGAGGATCCTTTTCTTTGATTTTGAGAGTGAGAGAGTTTAGTGAAGACCTTTCCCTTGGCTCAAAAAGGCAGGGCATGTGGAAGCAGGACTTTAACAGGGATAAGGGGATTTGTATACAGTCACAGGATGCTGTCCCAAAGACAGGATTGTTGGAAAAGTCCTGTTATCAATGAATCAAAATGGCCTGCTAATGATTGTGGGAGTGACTCACCCATTACTATGCCAGGGAGAGAAGGTAGGAAGATTTTTGTTATCAAATGGGCCAAAATGGTCTGATAATTTCTGTGGGCATGCCTCACCTCAGGGCCTCTGGAAGGGATTTTACAAACAAGAAAAAGCAGTCAAATTTCTGTCCTTATGAGACAAAGAATATGCATCACTCATAGTCTCATCACCCAAATAAAACATTGGTTATATTTTGGCATGTTTTTGTAGTCATTGTAATTTTGTGTAGCTTATTTTTCCTCAAAGAGAATTTACAATTTTACATTTTTCTTTATAAAAACAGAACACACTGTATATACTTTTCATTGTGCTCCTTGCTGTATCTTACACACATAACATATGATCTGGCTTCAGAACTTTTCCCCGGAAGATGTTTCCTTCATCTGTAGCCTGGGACAGCTTGCCCTCTTCAGGTAGGACGTCAGGGCACCCTTCTCTGGCTCTTTTGTTTTATCAGGATGAATGAGAATATTGTTCTTGTATTTCAGAATGCAAGTTCCATGACAGCTTGAATTTCTTGTTTCCTACACCTTGAAAAATGTCTGGTGTATTTTTTTCTGAATACACAATAACTAACACTTGTCAGTTACGTCCCAAAAGCTTTGCATACATTTTTCCTTTTAAAAAATAAATTGCCATAGAACATATGCACTCACCAGAAAGATACAGAGAGAGAGAGAGAGAGAGAGAGCCCTAATAGATGGGTCATATCACAATCTCTTCTTCATCTCTTCATCCTGTCAGGATGTGGACATACATGGGCACACTGCAGATGGTTTCTATGCTGTCGGGGCTGGGATTTGAATTGTAGTTGGCCATGTGGGATCCAGTTTCCTCAACCAGTAGACTATAGGACCAGTTCAAGCTTTGCTATCTTATGACCTTAATATAGTCTTGTTGAGGGAGATGTTACTGATATTCTCATTTTAAGGTGAAGATATTGAGGTGCAGCGTGGTTTAATGACTTATTTAATGTTACTGAACTGAGAACCTAAAAGCTGGGATATAAACCTGTGCACTCTAAATTTGAAGCTAGACAATCTAATGCCAGAATTTCTACCATTAACAAATTAAATTACACCATTATCTCATGAATGAATGGATATAAATTATCCTTTTAAGCTAAATTTTATGGCTCAGAAGGATTGTTTATATAGCTTTTCATTTCTTCTTTCTTTCTTTGCCATGTTTTGATTAATAAGACAGTAGGAATTTGAGAGGATTTTGTCCTGGATAAAGATTTAGGGTGAGTTGAGAACATTTTCTTTGGTAGTTGTTTCATTTGTTAGACATCTCTTTTATTTATCAAAATCTCTAATTGCATGAAATCTTTTTTCTATTGTCTACTTCTATGTGTAACTGTATGCCATCTAGTGGACAATCTAAATGATGCTCAGCTTTGCAAAATAGAGGTTGCTATACAGTATATGTGGAGATAGAGACAGCAACTCATTAGAGATGCCCTGCAAAACTGAATGTTTTCTATTAGTATGCACTGGATTATATTACACAGGATAGAAATTTTTTTTGAGAGGTTTTTACTATAGGGTACATGTGCTCACCAGAAAGACAGAGAGAGAGAGACAGAGAGACACAAAGTGAGAAATCACCCCCCAGGGGGCATGGCCATGCCCCAATCCTTTCTCCTCCATTCTCCTTCTGGGATCTTGGGCACACGCAAATGCACCTGGCATGAGTTTAAGCCACCGGGTCCAGGACTCAGACTGCGGCCGACTACATGGGAGTCGAGCAACATAGTCATTACACCAACTACTGATCCCCAGGATAGAAATATTTCATCTCTCTTCTACTTAGTCTTTATAGACTGATATTAGTGATATGTAACCTTATCATAGATAAACCATGTTGTTCTTATTGTAGATACAGTATTCAGGAAGTGAAGTTGAAAAACTAATTTATATAAAGTAAATTAGTATAAACTAACTTTATATCTTGGGCACACATGCACACGCGTCCAGCATGAGTTTAAGGACTTGAACTGTGGTCGACTACATGGGAGTCCAGCGACATAGCCACTATTGCCAACTCCTGGTCCCGAGATGCTTTAAATTTTTAATGACATATTTTAAAGTTTTTAATTTGATTACTTCATTCACAATATTCTATAGGAAGAAAACCCTCTGTTCAAGTTTTAAATTTCTAAGATATTTGAATGCATAAGAATCCACAAAGGACCAGCATATGGCATAATGATTGTGTTGCTGGACTCCTACGTAGTCAACTCTGGTTCAAGTCCCAGACCTGATGGCTTAAAACTCACATTGGGTGCATGTGTGTGTGTGCCCAAGATCCCAAGAAGAGAATGGATTAGAAGGGATTGTGGAGTGGCCATTCCCCTTTGGGACTGATTTCCCATTTTCTGTCTCTCTGTCTTTCTCTCTAGTGAGTGCACACTCCCTAGAGCAAAAATTTTACTCCCCCAAAACAAGTGAGTTTTGATATATGGGAGAGTTGTCAGAAGAAAATTGCAACACAAGATGAGACAGCATGTGGATAGCTTGATTTACAGTCCTGAGCAAAGAGCCCAACTCTCTGTGCCAAGGTTTCTGTCCTACATTGAGTTCATCAATGTTCTATAGCTCCAACTCTCTGTGCCAAGGTTTCTGTCCTACAAAACCATGAGTTCATCAATGTACTATAGGATTCAGTCAGCAAGTCTTTCACCTCCCAAACTGAGTTTATTCTTGATACTATAACGAGTGGTATTATTTTTCCAATTTCCTTTTCAGATAGTCATTGTTAGAGTATAGGAATGCAATTAATCTTTTTTTAGAGAGTTTTTTTTTTGTTGTTGTTGTTGTTGTTATAGGGCATGTGCACTTACTGGAGAGACAGAGAGACAGGAAGTGATAAATTACCCTCCAGGGGAGATGGCCACACCTCAATCCCTTCTCTCTTCTCCTCTCTGGATTTTGGGCATGCATGCATATGCGCTTAGTATGAGTTTTAAGCTGCTGGTTCTGAGACTGGAACTATGTGGGAGTCCAGCAAAGTAACCATTATGCCCTCTGCTGGTACTGCAATTACATTTAGGCAATTTTAACTTATTTCTTCTAGGATTGAGACAAAAATGGACATAGAGAAAGAAAGAGAAAGAGAGAGATACAGCACCCCCAACAGGGTCTCGACCATGTAATCCACTTCCAGCTTCAGGCAGGCTGGATCATGAGCATGCACTTTGTCAGCATACTCAGGGAGTTCTCTGAAAACAAACTGGTAACTTTCTAATGTGGGTCTGCCTTATACAGCATCTAGTTTCTCCATTGTACCCCTGAACAGTCCTGCAACTAAGTTTTGCATATTGCTTTTGTATTTAGCAACTTCACTGAGTTTATTACTTATAAGTTTTTTGATGAGATCTTTAGGGTTTTCTATATAAGAGATTATATGCTATCTGCAAATGGAGACAATTTCACTTCTTCCTTTATGATTCAGATGCCATTTATTTATGTATTTATTTAGCCTAATTTCCCGGGTTTCGGCTTCTAGTACTTTCTTGAATAGAAGAGAAAGAGGCCATCCTTGCCTTCCTGATCTTAGAGAAAAACATTTCTTTCCATTTATCAGTGAATATGATGTTACTTGCATTTATTACTTTTTCATTTATGGCCTTTGTTATGTTTAGCTAATTTTCTTCTTTCCAAGTTGAGGGTTTTCATTATAAAAGAGTATTGAATTTTGTCGAACTTTTTTTTAATATATATTGTCAGTATCAGGTCTTTATCCTGTATTATATTCATATGTGTAGCTCACTACATTAAGGAGTGATTTTTTTGTTTTTTTGGTTTTTTTGTTTGTTTGTTTTTTAATGTGCCAGAGGGCACATGCTCTCACCAGAGAACAGAGTGAGAGAGAAAGGGAAAATGAGAAAGCACTCACCATGGAGAGCAGTGATGCTGCAATGCCTACCCCTCTATTTTCTCCTTCCTTTAGGAATTTTGGGCATGCGTGCATAGCATGGGTGCCCCACATATGTTCAAGTTGGTCATATGACATCCATCTATCTATGCTGGACCATCCTTGTATCCCAGGGATAAATCCCATTGATTATGCATATAATCTTTAACATGCTCTTGAATTCAGTTATCTAGTGTTTTGTTAAAGATGTTTGCATCTAATTAATTAAGGATATTGCCTGTTGTCTTCTTGTGGTATCTATCTAGCTTTGGTCTCAGTGGAATTACAGCCTCATGAACTGTTTGGAAGTGTCTCCTCTTCTTCAATTTTTTGAAAGAGTTTGAGAAAAGTTGGCTTCAACACTTCCTTAAATGTTTGGTAGAATTTACTAGTGAAGCTATCGGGTCCTGAGCTTCCCTTTGTAGGGGATTATTTTGATTACTGATTCAATCTCAACACTATTAATAGAATAGGTCAGCCTTTATACTTAAAATAACCTAATCAGTTGTCAAAGAGAAGTGTTATCTGGAGACCAATTGTATTCTTCGTTTTTTTTTTTTGTTTGTTTGGATGTTGATTATTTTCCAGCATTAATAAGGAGAAAGTAAAAATTGCATCTATAAAAATCTATGTAGCCTACATAACTATGATTTTTGATGAACTAAAACTTGGTTTTGAAAAGATTGTATACATTTGGAAATTCTTGGGAAAATGAGACTGGGTCCACCCCTTCTCCTACTCCCAACATCAAGTATTATTTTTCTTCTCATTGGAAGTTTGTGAGATTAATAGACTGTAATGATTAGCTATGACTCACAAGTAAGATACATTAAGGTCTGTCTCCTGCTTTTCAGAAACTGTTCACTCCTCAGAAAAAAAGGGGGACATGTGTTTTATGAATCATTCTTCTTTAGTCTCATGTCTTGAAAGTTAAGGAGAAACTTTCACTTTTGCATCCAAATAAGACAAGTTAAAGATGTGATGTCACAATGGGTTTCTAATTTCTGCTCCAGATTTAGATATCTACACTGCAGTCCTCTCCTAGTAACTTAACACACACACCTACCCATATGCTTACGAAAAGAAAAATCTAGCTTTTCTCATAAGAGATTTGGCTTTACACTGAGTGAGGGTATTTATAGCCAAGTGAGCTGTACCTATTGTGGGATCCAAAACTATTAGAACTTTTTTTTTTAGGTTTTTGCTATAAGGTGCGTGCACTCATGAGAAAAACAGAGAGAGAGACAGGGAGACAGAAAGTGAGAAATCACCCCCCAGGGGGGATGGCTACACTGCAAATCCCTTCTCTTTCATTCTCCTCTTGGAATCTTGGGCACACATGCACACGCGCCCGACGTGAGTTTAAGCTACTGGGTCCGGGACTTGAACCGTGGTCGACTACAGGGGAGCCCAGCGACATAGCCATTACACCAACCATTG